TTTGGCAGAGTTTTGCTATTATTTTTTGGTGCAAAAAAAAAGGATAAGGATAATTAAGCTTTGCCTCTTAGTGCCTCTACGTCTAGGAGGCAGGAGGTCTATAGGCAAAATTAAAATAGTCCTAACTCACTGAATTTATTTATTAATGCAGTAATATCTAACATGACAATCGTTTTTGTCAACAGTGATGTTCCAGCAAACTATAATAAAAAATATTTTCTGCTTAATGTTACACACTGGACCTTGAACAATAACTATACTACAATTTTAAATAACATCAAAACTTGGGGAAAAAGACGTCAAAACCAATATCTTTTAACACCAAGAAAGTATTAAAGTATTACCTCAAATTAATTTTCCTTTCTATACACAGATTGGATACATTATACTGACTTCATTTGTAACAGCCAAAGACCAAAGATTAAATGTAAATACAACTCTCTAGAGAGAGAAATGAGCTGGAGGACGTGGGGGTCCCAGAGTGCCCTCATGTTTGAAAAAATGGATGCCCCTATGGTAGATAAAACTTGATAAAGTGCGCTCTAGAGTGCAAAGCTGTTTCACCAAATGCATCACAACTTCTCCACGTTTGATGAGATTACACGATCTAATTTATGTCCCTCTCAAACAAGATAAAAATGTGTTTTGGTCCTATTGCAAATGTTCTAATATCCTGGAAACTAATGACTAACCACGCTCACTTTAAAACAAAGTGGCATCATGTGAAAATGTGAAAATGTGTACCTCTGTTCTCTTAGTTTGACATGCAGCTAGTTGGTAGATGTGCACCACAATGTAACTGGGAATTTCTTCAGCCAGTAGCAGCTTGAAATTAAAATACTGCAACTTCTCCTTGCAGGTCTCCCAGCGGCCTGGTGCATGATGGTGTGGATAGTCTACTATACTGTGTAGTTTGACTGGATATATGATCATGTGGTCTTATACAGATCAGAAGAAAAGTATCAAGTCCTCACATCAAAAGTTCACAAGCTGTGTGTCATGTACAGACACTTCACTTCCCTGAGAGGTGGAAAATCTGAGCTTATAAATAGGGTTGAGTGATGGCTTCACAGGCATGACTTAGAGAGGAGGAGAGTACAGAGATTGATACTGCCCCTGTTCATGTGTGGTAAGAGGGTGGTATGGAGGCTTTAAGGGTTGGCAGAAATATTTGCTGATTTAACAATCACAGATATCAATATTGTAATTTAAAAACATTACATTACTGTGTCACTCTGGCATTAGTAACGAAATATAAATTTATATATATAATAATGTAATAAGGTGACATCAATAAATTCATATAATTTAACACTACCTATCCAGCAATGTCATTGTTCCCAAATCAATATGTGGAATGTGGTCTTTTTGTATTGTCGTTGATTCCACCCCTAATACCCCCTTAATTGGGCCCCAGCCACTCACACACAGTGTATTAGGCTGCTTTTAAATGTTGGCAGTCTGTCTGTTGTATTTCCTTTTTCCTCACTGTTTTTACTATATATAACATATATGTAATGAAAGTGTCCAGATCAGAGCGTTTCTGAAATCATTTTAAAATCAACAGGTGATGTGAATGTCTCTCTTTCTGCATGTGTTAATGTGTGTGTTATTTAAAGTGCAGGTGTGTGTTGTCTCTTTGATTAGTGTAGTGTGTAAGATAACTAGCTGCATTCAATCAGTGCTGCTAAAATTGTGTAAAAGTACAAGTTGGGAGCAGAGGAAAAACCTTGTGTTCCCTCACAAACTCAATCTCAACAACAACTGAGAAGAACTCAACTGTAAGGAGGATTTGCATTTTGCAAGCTGTTTGTTTTGGTTTTCCCTCTGTGCTGTTCGCTCGTTGCATTGGTTGGACTTCTAAAGTTATTAGGATTGTAACGTTTGTAGTAGGCCTACTAGAGGAGAAGACACAGTTGGGAGGTAGATTGCCTTTTTCTTTAAAGGGGGTTGGAAGGGTTAACACCATGGCCTTTCATCAACGAGGTATACACATTTTCTCCAATTCTACCAAGATTTGGTGTTAATATAATAAAATGAGGTTATTTATAATGCAGTGAGGGTCAGGTTATTTCCCACAGACACTCTGGGAGGCTCACAGAAAAAATATGTGTAGCTCTGGGGAGGGCCATGATATACAGAAAAAAATACCATACCTCAGCCACCCCCTCTGATAAATCATGAACAGTCTTTTAGTTTGGACAACAAAGACCACGTTTTCCTAAATTTCTGTATAGTTTTAATATTTAACTAGATTGAACTAGATTGTAGGCTGTTAACAAACATACACCAATCAGCCACAACATTATGACCATTTGGGCACCCTGGTGGTCAGAATGCAGATTACATAACAGTACAGCTACAGTAGCTTGTCTGTTGGACATGCATCAATGAGGCTTGGCTCATGACCCTGTCTCCCGTTCTTTTCTTTCCCTGGAGCACAAATCCTCACTCTGTCCATTTTTCCTCCTTCTAACACATCAGCTTTGAGGACAAAATGTTCACTTGCTGCCTGATATATCCAACCCACTGCTGTTATGGCTGATTGCTGTATCTTCTGTGGTTGATGATAATAACTTTTTTATATATCCAAATGTGGTCTGCAAACTACAGGAAGCCTGAAGATGAACTAGTCGGATGTAAACATTTCTGTGACTTCCTGTATATTCTTTGAGTCTGTTCTACTTGACTGCAGGTTGTCACCGCCTCCTGCTGCTGTCGCCTGATCTCGTCCTCTTTCCAGGCGAGTTCCAGTTCATAGGCTCGTCACATTTAAACACTATAACATAAAGGAGATCACTCTTCGATTTATTGGACTGTTGTCCAAAGAACAATAAGACCCTGCTGCATCCACACAAACTGCAGAGTGTCTGATCTGTAGCTGACAGTGACCTCTGACCTCCCAGAGAATAACACATTTCTGCACATTACATCACATTAACCTACAAAACATTGAACAAGATCTGAGCAGCAGAAGATTTAATTCTCCTTTCATATGTGAACAACGTTGAAACACAAAATAAAGCCCTGCCTACATGGAGTTAGATTTATGTCTTTATTACATGCGAGAAAATAAATGATCTGAAAGAAAAAGTTATCACACTGAGAGCAAAAAATAATAATATTTGAGACTTAAAAAGTCTCGCTAATTAAGGTAGAAACTAGCTCCCTACTCACTAAATAAGGAGTGAAACTATCTAAATCAACATATTCATTTGGCATTTGATTTAAAAATAGTCTAAACCAGGTGAGTTTGCAAGTTTACCTAGCATGATGACTAATTAGCTTTACTAGCGATTAGCATGCTAATAATATAATACACATTCATGAATATTTAATGTTTAATCTTCAGTGATGTTAGCTGAGCTGAACTCCACATTACTAACCAGTTAAACATCCTTTAATAGCTCTGATCTGTTACTCTCTAACCTGTTAGGGCTACACAGTCGTTTTGATGAGGTGTGTGTGACATCATCTTACCCAAACATTGAGTCTCCGCTCAGCACATCTTCGCCGGTGCATCAACAATGGTGTAATGATTCAGTTCGACTCCCAAGACGATTCTTACCCGACTGGCCAATAGGAACGTGGCCCCGCCCATAACATTATTTTCACGGCGAGAGCAAAATCCTGACACGAGAGCAAGAAATTGCATCGAGAGCAATCGAGACTTATGGTGCTTTCCATTCGTCTCGTGAACTCGGAGCCCGAGTTGTTCTGCCGCGAGAACGTGACGTCATTGCCTGGCTTGTACCACTTATAGCTCCAGTTTGTCTTTGGGCATTATGAGTCGGAAAGAAGTGCAGCAGCTGTGTTGTTATTGTTTGTAGCTCTTCTAAACAAGCTCAATGTGAAATAATAATAATGTTTTTCTACAGAAACAAACATTTCAAGTAATTCTGTTATTGCAAGTCTTACATTTCAATAATATTTTGCCATTTTCGCCTATTTCAATTTCAACAAGTGCTGTGGCGTTTGTCTCGAGCCACCAGGGGCCACCAGGAGCCACCTGGAGCCACCAGGGGCCTCCAGGGACCTCCAGGGGCCACCAGGGGCCACCAGGAGCCACCAGGGGCCTCCAGGGGCAGGTTAGCGTTATTGTTAGCTACATTAGCCTATTTAGCAAACAAAACTTTACATTGCACACACAACAACACCGTGCAATGTATAAATTGGTGACCGGACTAAAGCAGCAATGTAAACAGTGTGTAAGAGGATTTAAAATCGACATTAAAACGACCAACGTAGGACAAATACAAAGAAAACACATCTCAATATGGGCGCAGCCATCTTTGTTTTGCGGGTCGTACGAGCCCCCCCGTTGAGCTCGGTGAACTCTGAGGAGCCCCGAGTGGGACGGCTGACATTACGACCAAAAGGAGGCGTGTCTCGGTGAAATGTCGCGAGATAGCTGCGAGATTTACACTTTCCAACTCGGGTTCCGAGTTCACGAGACAAATGGATGGCAGCAGGTTTTGAGAGAAACAAGTTTTTTTAGAGAAAATGTTTTCACACTGATAGCAAAATATATATTTGAGAGTTAAAAAAGTATTTTGAGAGAGATTTTTTTCTCAGAAATAATTTTAAAAATTTAAAATTTATATTTTTTATGTTCTTTGAGAAAATACTTTCTCTCAAAACTTTTTTTAGTCTCAAATATAATTATTTTTTGCTATCAGTGTGATAACTTTTTCTCTCAGATCATTTATTTTCTCGCATGTAATAAAGACACAAATCTAACTCCATACATGTCCCCCCCCCTCCTCTCACACACACTAAAATAAGATCATTTTACTTTCACTTTCGTTGATAACCTCAGTGGCTCAGTTTTACCTAGTTACAAGCGAGCTAAATTCCCATTGGCTCAGATGGAGGGTTGATCGTCCCTTCGTGTCTTGTCCTCATTTTACCCGTGAAACTCCAACTGTAAACAGTGTGTGAGTTTCTCTGGATAAAGAAATATATCAGTCAGTTCATCAACTTCTAGGATGTGACAGTTCCCAATGAAGACCTTGATGTTTGTGGTCCTGTTGTTAATATATCTACATGGCGCTGCGGGAGGTGAGTTTACATTATTTAAAGTCAGTCGACTGTAAAAGGAAAAAAAAAAAGCGTTGTGGTTCTTTTGATTGTCTTCGACGTTTAGTTTCAGGGTTTCATTATAGAAATGTTGAAAAGTAACAAAGCCAGTATCTTAAAATTCACGTTAGTAAATTCTGTTTGTTCCACTCATGTAGACTTACTGCAGACTGTACCTGTAAGTTACTGTGTGGTCTGATGTCGCGTTAAAGCGGAAGTAAACTCCATTAGTCTCTCCTTCGGTTAGGCCTACTGTAGGACTTATGTTTATGGACGGGTTTATTAAAAAACACATATATATATATGTTTATAACATGTTCCTGAGGTGATAATACATTGTACTCGTATATTTAGCCCATATTATTTTACAGATACATGTTGTTTATCTGATGTCCTCTATAGAAACAGGCCTAATCCATCTCCTGGCTTTGCTCGTGGATGTCGGTCTACTACTAAATGAGTATTATGTGTTAAATATAGAAAATATATAGATTTATATAAAGTTCCTTAATGAGAAACGTGATCTCTGTCCAAACAGTTTCTGTCCATTGACTGTATTTGTTGTGAACTGTAGGATATTTTACTTAGGAGGAAAAGAAGCATGTGTACTTCCTTAAGTTATTTTTGTTGCTTTACATTTACATTTTATATTATATCAGACTTTAGTTATTGTTGTTCAAATATAAGACCTAACCATCAGTTTAGTTACAGCAGATTTCAGTCTTGTGATTTAAATTTTTCTTGCTGTATGATCAAGTACATAAGTATTACAGATCGTTCCTTTAAGGAAGTAATACAGTATCACAGGCCAGACTCATCGGTAGAAATTAATTCCTGATAGTAAAGTTTTATTGTAACCTATCTTAAGTGGGTTTTTTAAATTTCATCATTGTATATCATCTATTAGATGTTTGTTTTTATTGTCCCTTATAGTGTATTCTATGGGTTGTTATTGTCAAAGTTAAAAAAACAAAATCTCTTTTTGTCTTCAGGGAATTGATGAATTTATAATACTGAAAAGATTTATTTGAAAAATGTAATTTCAAGAGCCTGAAATCCTTTTAAATTAACTCTTTTACAGTGATTCACTCTCTGAAGTATTTCTACACTGCGTCTTCTGGAGTCCCAAACTTCCCAGAGTTTGTGTCTGTTGGGTTGGTTGATGAAGTTCAGATTTATCACTATGACAGTAACACCAGGAGAGCAGAACCCAAACAGGACTGGATGATCAGAGTCACAGCAGAGGATCCTCAGTACTTGGAGAGGGAGACTGAAGCCTGTAAGCGTCACCAACAGCGCCACAAAGTCAGCATTGAAGCTTTAAAGCAGCGCTTCAACCAAACTGGAGGTTTGTTTAGTTTCACTTACTCAAGAAAGTGTTTTCATCCTGTTTGTTGTCAATACGTTGCAAACAAATGTACACTACTGTTCAAAGTTTGGAGTCACCTCCCATGAAACCTTGATTTTGGTACAGTCAGAGGGCTGAGAAGACTACTCTATATTTTTATCTTTTTAGTCTTAAATGCTTTTAGTTTGTATCTCTCTTTACATGTATATATTATTTTGTATGAAGGGTTTACAAAAGTAATATACATGTAGAACAAAATGCTGTACAATGGTTCAAGCAGACTGACAACGGAAAGTGCAGAAAGAGACAAAGATATAAATAGATAACACCGATCAGCTGTAACATTATGACCACCTGCATAATATCGTACCTCCAAGTCCTGTAAGTTGTAAGGTCGGGTCTCCATGGATCGGACTTGTTTGTCCAGCACATCCCACAGATGCTCGATTGGATTGAGATCTACGGAATCTGGAGGCCAAGTCAAAAGCTTGAACTTGTTGTAATGCTCCTCAAAATGATTCTTGAACCATTTTGCTTTGTGGCATTATGCTCCCATCAGGAAATACTGTTTCCATGAAAGAGTGTGCATGGTCAGCAACAGTGCTTAGGTAGGTGGTGGGTGTCAAAGTAACATGCTTCCTTGGACCACTTTTGATACTGACCACTACAGACCAGGAACAACCCACAAGAGCTGCAGGTTTGGAGATGCTCTGACCCAGTCATATAGCCATCACAATTTAACCCTTCTAAAAGTCGCTCAAATCCTCACGCTGCCCATTTTTCCTGCTTCTAACTTCAACTTCAACTTGAGGACAAAATGTTCACTTGCTGCCTGATATATCCCCCCACTGACTGGAGCCATGATAACCAGATGATCAGTGTTATTCACTCCAACTGTCAGTGCTCATAATGTTACGGCTGATCGGTGTATAAGAAATCACTTGTCATTGGTAAAATATATTGGAAGCTTACACTCACTTCTGTCTTCTGTCTTGACAGATTTAGACACTGAAATAAGAATAGGTTCCTATTTCAGTGTCAAGTGCACGATAATGCCTATAACAAGCTGGATTTAAGAGGAATGTTGCTTGAGCAAAGCTATTCTTAAAACTTCAAAAAGGAAATAGAAGAAATATGATCACATAATATCAGCTGGACATACTATAGGCTGACCTAATACAGTTTAAACCTATTCAGTCTAACCACTGAAACAATATTCTCCCCTGTCATGAGAAACTGTGGGAAAACCAACTAAATGGAGGTTTTAATCATTAACTTCCTTTTGGGGCCAAAACTATTCCAAATGTAAAGAATCCATTTGGTGTCTGAAGTTGTTATCTTTGTGAAAATAGTCATTAAAGCAATTAAGAAAAACATTAATATAATAGGTGATTCCAAACTTTTGAACAATGGTGTATGTACACTCACAAATTCAGTTTCTGTCCATCCCATAATCATGTGGTTGTCTCTCCTGAGTGCCTCACTCTGTTTTCCCAGCTGATTATTGGCTGATGGTGATTTAAGTAACTGGCTTCCATTAAGCCTGTAACAGCAGTAGGTGAAGATCCTCCACTCATTTTTCTGCACATTAATAGTTGAACTGAGACACAGGTTTCAATAAACAGTCAGTGTATCTTATTTCCCAACTCTGTCAGACTGTTATTGGCAGAAATGTATTATTTTATTTTCATTAATGTTTATCTACAGGCGCCGCTTCCGTGGAGTCTGCCATGTTCTAGCCCAGAACGGACAAACCAAACACTGGCTGTAGATAGGGACTTGCGAGTTTCGTGACTTCAGTAGTTCCTCGTACACACAAAAACAATAGCAGCAAGCAGCGATGATCGGGCCCTCGCTGTCCATGTGCATCGGGGTGTGCTGCGCTTGGTTTATGTGGGGCCATTTTATCAAGACCCATATCAGATGTGACATTTTACCATTTGTGATATTTCTGCAGAGTTTCATGGATTTTTGAGCATCTTTAGCCCACCAAAAAATTTTAAAACTATAAAAAAGGAAACATTGACATTCGCATTGTTGCAGTGTTACTGCTTGGGCGCCCTAATAAGACTAAAATGGCCAGTACTAAAAAATATATATATAAAGAACTGCTCTCTATTTCAGCATGGAGCCAACCTGCAGTCTTCACACCGGTTGCCCATGAGCCTACTTATCAGTTTGTGGCTTTTACCTGGATCAATGTGTGTCTGTAGTAAATATGTGATATTAACTGCTAATAGTAGACTGTGATAGGATCTGACTCTGGTTTACCACAATCTCTGTCTCTTATCTTTCTCTCTCAGGTGTCCACGTTCTCCAGTGGATGTACGGCTGTGAGTGGGATGATCAGACTAATAAGGTTAATGGTTATGATCAGTATGGTTATGATGGAGAAGACTTCATAAAATTAGACCTGAAGACAGAGACATGGATCGCTATAAAACAACAGGCTTTCACCACCAAACATAGATGGGATCGTGACAAAGCTTGGCTGGATACGACAAAACACTACCTCACCCAGGAGTGCATTACGTGGCTGAAGAAGTATTTGGACTATGGGAGGAGCTCTCTGCTGAGAACAGGTAGAATGGCCTGACAGCTTTAGACAGTCCACTCCCAGTGGACACTGTAACAGAGATGTGACAGAGCCTAGCCACTGTGCAACAAGAACAGCCAGTGAACATCTGGTATAGTATATTATGCACTGCAGATGGAGTGATGAAGTACAGTGTGGTATGGTGCAACCATCAATCATTTAGTGAACTCTGTATCAGCAGTACAGTTAATTACAGTTTGATTGACTTAGTGAAATCTCTGTGGACAGTGTCTTCTTTACTGTCCAGCTGTCAGTAATCCAGATGAGGAAACTCGGATACAAACAGTCTGTAACGCTGCTGTGCTCTAGCTGCTCATTGATGCTCAGTGGCGTGCAACACAAGAAACGCTATGATACCAGAACAAAAAACTTAATTCATTATTTACTAATTAATCTTAGTGTTACTTGAAGTGTATGGGTCAGATGATTATTGAAAGGGAATTGATGAGGCCTTAGTTTGAGAGAGTTTAAATTATGTATGGTTAATGGGAGGATCTGTCCACTTAATGAGAACTATATATTGGTATGTTTTATTCACAGACTTTAAAGATATGCAGATTAATAGAAATAAATTGAAATAATGGTTTATAGTAAATAAAACATATAGGAAGTATAAAATATTATATCATAGAGGACAGGTATTGTCTCAGTCCTTTAGTAATTATATATAAACTTTTTCGACACATTTCTGCAGGTAATTTGTTTTAGGGAAAAAAGAGAATGTGCTGGCAGATGATACCAGCTAGAGAAGGTTTAAATTATTATTAATAAGAGCAAAAGTGGGAAAAGCTACAGGTATTGAAACTCTGCCTGATGAAGTTATACATCCCTGCCCATGTTCTGGACAGTTTGTTTAGAAGATGTTAAGAAATGGCTAAAATGTCTCCTGTTTGGCTCCGGTCCATTATATGTCCAATTCGTAAGGCCCAGAATGATCACCAAAGAGTGCGTCTTAATTACAGAGAAATAACTTTACTAAGTGCTGTTTATTAATTACACTTATTAAAGAACTCATGTTACAAATGTTTTCTGTAAAGGTAGAGCTTGCATTAACCATATTTATATTTTGTGTACAGTTGCAAGGACTATAATGTGGAAAAATAAGGGGTACGAAAGTTAATGAAAAGTAAAGTTAGTGGATTATTTGCTTGTTTCTCATTACAAAAGCTCTTGTAAAGTATATTTTGTGTTCTAAAGAGCATTGTTTTATGTTAATGATGATGTTGTCCTGGCTGAAAATAAGCATGGCATGCAGGAACTGTATGTATGAGTGATGTGAGAAATATAGATTGTCTATAAATTAAAAGTAAACTGAAATTCTACATTTTAGAAGCTCTTGATCTCGCATAAACACTTGCTAGTTTAGTAATAAAAAGTTCCCAAAGAAGTATTTGTGCTCAAATTAGAGCTCAGTAGAGTTTTCCTTTTGAGACAAGTTGGTATGCTCTTTAGTTTATTGATATAAAAGACTCACATGAAAAGAGGTTGGCAATATAACAATACAGTTTATTCCTCTCTCTCTTTCTCTCTCTCCCTCCAGACCTTCCCTCAGTGTCTCTCCTCCAGAAGACTCCCTCCTCTCCAGTCAGCTGCCACGCTACAGGTTTCTACCCTGACAGTGCCACACTCATCTGGAGGAAAGATGGAGAGGAGCTTCATGAGGACGTGGACCACGGAGAGATCCTCCCCAACCACGATGGATCCTTCCAGATGAGTGTTGACCTGAACCTTTCATCAGTCACACCTGAAGACTGGAGGAAGTACGACTGTGTGTTTCAGCTCTCTGGTGTGAAGAACGACATCGTCACCAAACTGGACAAAGCATGGTTCTGGACCGATAAAGGTAAGACTGTGAATGTGACAGTGATGAAGGTGAGAAACACTTTTTTTAGTATAACAGTCCTGCAGTGATGCATCAGAGAACTGCAAAAGACAGTGATTTGTTGGGGGTGTGGCCTCGAAACAGACCACAGTGATTGACAGACTGTTAGTCAGAGCTAGTGAGCAGCTGCTGTCATACTCTCCGTGTCCACGCAAAAAACACAGATACTTAAGGAGATTTAACAGACACTTGAGGCACTTTGACTGTCATTTGTAAGATTGTCTGCATGGTACCTGTATTGTAGCTTAGCTAACGGCTGTGTTGTAGTTGACCTGCGTGTCTGTGGGATCAAGGTAAACACTGCAGTCCGGTAGTGTTCCTACAGTTGTCTAAAGCACAAGTCTGAATCACTGCACTAGACTATCAAAATACTAAGTAAATTAGTTGTCCCATTTAGAGTAAAATAAACAATAAAGCAGGGTATGCTTTAGGGGGTTCTCGGGTTCTCAGTTATATCCAGTCAAGATTAAAGTGTAGCAATGCATATCCCAGCTCCACCTTCTTGTCCAGATATGGTCACTTCTGGCTCCCAAAAAACCTGGATGACAATGGCCATAATTTAAAACTCAAGATTCAGAATGGTATTCTACAAACCAAAAGATAATGTCACAGTCCACTATTTATTATACAGTATATGTGGTAATAGTGGAATCATTTAATTACTGGATGAGTTTATCTATCAGTACATTTTTAAGTACGTTTATTAGCCAAGTACTCTGACAGTCAAAAATAATTTCAATATGATTGTCAGAAGCTATTAATACAGTAATTATGTACAGACAAATAGAGAATAAAATTCTCTTAAATTAACAACAACAGAAACAAACAGTGTCTGTGTACAGGATTGTGGTCTGGTTGGTAAATGCTTCATCTGTTCAGGTTTTGACTATTTTTGTTGTTTTCTGTTCAACAGAGAAACCTGATAACACGACTGTCATCATCATTGCTGCAGTGGTTGTTCTCGCTCTCGTCCTCATCGCTGTGGTTGGAGTCGTCATCTATAAAAAGAAAAATGGTGAGAGACCAAAACAGAAACTGTGTTTATTTCTTTCAGTATTTACAACCAACCAACAGTAAACACTGTAAGACTGAGAGCTACAGTGCCATGACTAAAGCATGATGATGTAGGGGAGATGTGATAGGAAAATAAATAATGTAAGATGTAAACAAAAGGTTGAATCAGTTATCATTTTAAGGGGATTATTACTGGGAAAGTCGACTATTTTTAACTGTAACAAAAATCCTTTTGTCTTTTCTTTCTATTTCAGCCACACGCCCTCCATCTCGTAAGTACAGCTTGTTATTCTATTATCTCTGACCTTACACGAACTCTGTAGAATAACATATATATATATATATACAGTGTAACAGTGTCAGTTCAGAGCAGAATGTGGGATAACAATGTGTTTCTGACCTTACAGCTATAAGCAACCCTGAGGTCATGGAGCTGAACCCAAACGCCTAAACAACAAAAACACCACCCTGAACACAGTAAGTTACATCTTATCAGACATGAACTATTCACACCTGTTGTTAAACAAAGTTGCCTTAACTTAAAGTGCAAAATACATTTATTCACTGTAAAACTTCGGTGACACTTTGTGAAGAAGTTCTTTGACTTTTAGTTGATCTTCCACAACAAAGGTGAAAAATTTTTGTGAAGATTAAGATTATTAAGAGAAAGGCACAGATGCTTTTAGAAACCTTTTCATTAACAGGTCAGATTATCTGGCCATCAACACCAAGAAGACCAAAGAGATCATTGTGGACTTCAGAAAAACCAGTGGCGGCACACACACCCCCATCCGTATCAAGGGAACTGACGTTGAGTGTGTCTCCAACTTCAAGTTTCTGGGTGTTCACATCTCTGAGGACTTCTCTTGGACCGTGAACACCTCAGCCCTGGTCAAGAAGGCTCACCAGCGTCTCTTCTTCATTATGAGACTCAAGAAGGCCCATCTGTCTTCTCAGATTCTGGTGAACTTCTACCGCTTCACCATCGAGAGCATTCTTACCAACTGCATCACAGTTCTCCAGTTGTGTAAATAGTTTGTGTATTTCTTATGATATAATTTAAAGATTAAAGTACTGTTTTTGTACTTTTCAATAAAGTGTCTTCTTGTGATTCCATATTCATATGGTTACACATCTGTGACTATTATAGGAATATATATCATATTTACTTTGTGATATTTATTACTACATGTGAGTTTCTTGTTATGGATGACACATCATTTGAAATGAAAACTTGTTTTTAATGATTAAAAACAGCATCTTTTTTCCCTGGTTAAAGAAACTGACTTAGCTTTAATCAGTTTTTGATTTTAGATTTGAATTATTGCTTTTATCTAGATTTTAAAATCAACAGTAATCACTGTAAGACGCAGAGACGTAGTGCTGTGACTGTGCATGATGATGTAGTGCAGAGGTGATAGGAAAAGAAAGAGACTCAGTTATAATTTTAAGGGGATCATCACTTGGAAGAAGTTGACATAGTCTGCTATTTTTATGTGAACAACATAATTTTGTTTTATTTCAGCCAAACGTCCATCTCGTACGGACAATTTCTTTCTGTTGTGTTTTTGTAGACAGACATTAAACAGCAATGGATAATATCACTTTCATGCTGGTATGTGTGCAGAATTTAATGCATAAAAGGGAGATTAGTGAGAAGCAAGAGAACAGGTGAGGTTGCTTTCAGGAGTATAATCCAGTCTGAGAGGTCAGAAACAATGAAGTGTTGCACGAACCACTAATCACACATACAATCTTTGTTTTTATCCACCACTTAATGTAACTAATTTCTATTCTATAATATATTCACCAAATGGCTTATTTTTCCTCCTACAGTAACGTTTCTATATGTTTAAAGACAAGTGAACTTTATTTATGACCTTTCAGTCTAACATCATTGAAGTTTTACTGATCTTTTTTATTATTAAAACTATTATAATAAAATATGTTCTTAAACACCCAGAGGAATCTGGCAAAACAAGGAGGACTAGAAGCATTGAAGCCCTGGCAGGGACCCTCCTTCTTCCTGCTGTGTGTGCCACAATTTGCAAATCATCCCAGATCTCTGTGTCACACAGAGAAATGAAACCTAACAGACTCATCATGTGGTTTCCCAGAGGGCTGTTCTGTTTCTGTCCACTGGAGGAGCTCTAACACCATACAAGACTCCTGAAGAGGCAACTATTGTGTTGAGGTGCTCCCTCCATAGCTGCAGTTTATACCAGGTTCATTTTGTTGATCTACCTCAGTCATACCCTGAAATAGAGCAGCAGGTTTTGACCGAGAGACAGAAAAAAGGAGATAATCAAGTTGCATTCTGGGCAGATTAAGTTGTTGCCTGTTCCAGGAAGTGTGTTGTTACAGATTAATATCCCAAAATGAAAACATATGTCTTCTTTTATTCTTCTGTCTTAAATGTACATGTCTGTGTGCAAGGACGCAAATATCTACACCCAGTTCACCCTGCAGTGAATGCTGGTCAGAGCGAGAGAGACGTGTTGTAAGAGTGATGGGTGTGGCTCAATATGTGTTTGCAGTAGATGTCACAGCCTACAGTGTGCATGTTAGTGGATCTTAACAAAACCACACAGCGCTGTGTCTGGCAGAGTTTTGATATTATTTTTTGGTGCAAAAAAAAGAGGATCCTTTCTTATTCTTATTACGCTTTGCCTCTTAGTGCCTCTACGTCTAGGAGGCAGGAGGTCTATAGGCAAAATTAAAATAGTCCTAACTCACTGAATTTATTTATTAATGCAGTAATATCTAACATGACAATCGTTTTTGTCAACAGTGATGTTCCAGCAAACTATGATAAAAAATATGTTCTGCTCAATGTTACACACTGGACCTCGAACAATAACTATACTACAATTTTAAATAACATCAAAACTTGGGGAAAAAGACGCCAAAACCAATATCTTTTAACACCAAGAAAGTATTAAAGTATTACCTCAAATTAATTTTCCTTTGCATACACAGATTGGGTACATTATACTGACTTCATTTGTAACAGCCAAAGACCAAAGATTAAATGTAAATACAACTCTCTAGAGAGAGAAATGAGCTGGAGGACGTGGGGGTCCCAGAGTGCCCTCATGTTTGAAAAAAATGTATGCCCGTATGCAGGGGCGCCGCCAGGAATTTTGGGCCCCATGACAAAAAAATCAAATTGGGCCCCCTCTGCGCAGCTGTTGTCACCACATCTCTGTCCCATCAAAACCTTTACATAACTCTAATTAAAGGCTTGCAACTGTCTTGCTTCTTGTAGTTCAATACTAGTACTAGCACAATATGTACTGCTGGTGATTTGTACATGCATGCAAGTCTGCATACAGTATGCAGTTCAATATTTGATGCAAGATTAAAAGCAACTATAAAACATGTGCTAAAGGCCATCTTTTACAGTCTCAATGTATTTTTAGTGTAAAATTTTTAAATGGAAAATTCTCTTAACGAAATTAATTATTATTAATTATTATTAATGAAAGATTTAAAAAAAGAAAAACAAACAAACTTAAATATATATTAACTTTTCAATCAAAGAAATAAATTAACATCATCCTCTCAAAACAATGAAAACAGCAGATTCTTGAACTTAGCTGCTCATATATGCCAACAAGAAAATAAAGTTGACATGTAAAATGGAATTTCCACACCAGGGTTATTATAGTGCTACAAAACAGACCAAGTGATCACTAAATCAAAAGGTTTTGAGGTTTGGAATATGGTTTTAACAAACTAACAGTAGTGACATCAAATTAAAAGGTATAAATAAGAACAAAGGACTCCTGGAAACCCAAACTTTTCTCTCAAATAACAGCTGAACACGTTTTTGGCAGTCCAGCCATACATCTTGTTCTCAGTTTGTTTAGACTGTGGGCATTATGTCTGTAGTAATATCCAATCTCCTTTGCCTTGCCATTTGACAGCTATCACTGGCCCTCGCTCAGCCTGAGTCACCAAGAGCCCAGCACCGAGCCTTCTTGCTAGCAAAGTCACTTATAAGTCTTTGAAGTCTAGCTTTCTAGCCAACTGACTTTCAATGGACAACATGGCTGCAAAGCCTGTCCTGAGACATAGTGGTAGTAGTAGTGACATCTTCACTGGGACAGGGAGGGTACAGTGATGGGGGGACTGGGGTGCTGCTGACTCATCTGTTGTTAAGTCTGCTAAAAGGGGCAGGGACAATGATTTAATATGAATATGTTGCTAAACATTTCCCTGAACTGATTAAATGGTGATTAAATGTAGGCTGACACTAGTCTGTAGCTGGCTATCTTATTTCACTATGGACATTAAGCCAACAGGTTAATACCACTCACAGACTATAGGCTCCTTTCTTGGTGAAACACTGGGTTACAGATTGACATCCTTTCCTTTGTCTTTCCTCTCTCTCTTTTCTCTCTTTACTATTTTGAAACCCAGATTTTGATTTACTAGTTAACATTGTGATCACTGTAGTTCTGGCTCATCTACTGACTGCAATAAACACCATCACTGATAAGTGCTCTAAGGCAGGACCAAACCATTTCATGCAGATACAGGGGGGTGGTCGGTGAATGTGGATGTTTACTTTTTGGTCAATGGGGATATTTAACTTTTACTGCCAATAACAGGTAAAAACAAAGAGATCATTAATTGTGTTATTATATTTGAAATATATATACTGAATGATGATGGTTTAATAATTTTATATTAGTTTTTACCTATTTTTTGGGGGCCCTGTCAGTCATGGGCCCTTGGAACTTTCCCCCCTATATGGCGCCCCTGCCCCTGTGGTAGATAAAACTTGATAAAGTGCTCTAGGGTGAAAAGCTGTTTCACCAAATGCATCACAACTTCTCCACGTTTGATGAGATTACACAATCTAATTTATGTCCCCCTCAAACAAGATAAAAATGTGTTTTGGTCCTGTTGGAAATGTTCTAATATCCTGGAAACTTATGACTAACCACGATCACTTTAAAACAAAGTGGCATCATACTCCAGTAGGTTACAATTAGTAAAGGCTTGGTGGTCGGACTAGTTACTCTAGAGCTCTCTGTTGCATGGTCTCATGGTGCAGAGGGAAAGACTATACAGAAGAAGAAGGGGGATTTATGATGAGGTATATATGGATATGCATGTTTGTATATTGCTTGCAGGTATTGTTATGGACATTCATAAGAGTACAAGAGTACCTAGCTGCAGACAAAGTGGTGTATCTCTGAAAGAGCATTTGCAAATGTGTGCATGTGTACCTCTGTTCTCTTAGTTTCACATGCAGCTAGTTGGTAGATGTGCACCACAATGTAACTGGGAAAGCATTTCTTCAGCCAGTAGCAGCTTGAAATTAAAATACTGCAACTTCTCTGGGCGCCCAGTTAGCTCAGTGGGTAGAGCTGGCATCCCATGTACCGAGACTGAGTCCTTGCTGCAGCGGCCCAGGGTTTGAATCCGACCTGCGGCCCTTTGCTGCGTGTCATCCCGTCTCTCTG